GCAACGTCATTTTTTGAGCTACTTTTTTTCTCCATAGGCGATGCTTTAGCTGAGGCTTAATCTAGCTGAGGTTTAAAAAATCTTGGCCTACTTATGGACGCTACCTTCAAAATTCTTCGAGAACTCAAAATTTAATCTGAGCATGGGTTTTATGTCTAAATCTGGTTTACTGCAACGAGGAGTCTCCATATATCTCCTTTCGTTCGCTAACCCGTTCATTTTATGAAGCATGTCGTCCTTTTCCAGCGTAGCTGCCAAGAGTTAGTGCTGGATCAAAAGTGCACCTCAAGAGATGGAGCCATTATCGTTGTGGAAGTGAATAGCGCTCGTTTTATTGCCCGTCATTACGGATCTAGAAAGCCGTTCAATTTGCCAGAAATTGCAGTGGTCACCGTCTATTTTCGGAAAAGATTTCCAAGTGCACTTTCTAATAGGTAGAGCAGCCCTTAAATCCCCCAGGTAATGGCGACGTCTAATCAGCGAAACTACGTTTTTTACCCACATTGCCTCATGTCTATAAGACTACGTTCATGATTGATTTCCTATATAGCGCTGTATCTAGTTAAGATTCAGAGCGTAGCACTGTTTAGCAGAAAATATCTAGAAAATATTAACTTATTATCCAACTGAATCTTCTTGGGCGCATTCGCAATGCACCTACAGTGAGCGCGTTTGCGGCAACGCACTTGGGTGAGAAATAAAGGAGGCAGAGGTAGAGCATCACTGAATCCTATGTGTAAAGTTATGCTGCTTTAGGTTCTCGCAGCATCCCTGAAGACTTCTCCTGCACTTATCACCTTCATTTTCGAAAATGGCTCTTTCTTAAATACAGTAGGATACCACGAAGAACTAAAATAAAGGATTATTTTTGTAGCCTCTTTTTAACTTAAAGATTTCCGAATTTTCATGAAGAAGCTATCAGTAATAGTCCAGAAAATTTTCATTGTGTAATCTGACGTAGTTTTCAGCGCGAGCATCTGCTGTTCCTTTGCAGAATGCGCGCGCACCTGCACATCAAATCCTTTGCCGACCGAGACCAGTAAAGAGGGCGAGGCCTGTGCACAGCACGTGTCCAAATTGACGAAATTTAAGCTGATTCTTGCTACTTTAGTCAGTTTGGACACGTTCGACGTCTTGGGCACACCCATCACACTGTCGAGGATAGTAATTATCAACGATGCGCATCTTGTCTTAAAATTCGGTGTAATGATCCATGATCTCATTGAAATCTGCTTTTGCTGACAAGCAATCACAGACATCTTTTTACCTTCCTTGCGTCGTTTAATTTGCTAACAAACCGCAGGTCTTCAGAAAATTGTAGCTTTCACAGTGCATAAGCTTGGTACACAGACACGTAAAAAGGTCGTCTCAATTTCGAAGGTTATACTTAGCAACAGTCTGGTAACAGCTGAAATGCTCGTCTTTCAATGAACCTCGACATTGTTGGACTTATTCATTTAATTTTTATTGAAGCCATACAACGAGGTTGTTATGAAGTGCTTTATATGGCGACCGTTTTGTCTCATTGCGCCTTTTTCAGAGCCTAAATGGGTGAACGATAGGACATTGATCGAATAAACTGCACGTCGTTTATCCATTTAGGCTCTAAAGAAGGCAAACTAAACCGAAACGCTGGCCAAATAAAGCACTGCACAACTACCTCGTTGTATGGCTTCAACAAAAATGATATGAATAAGTTCTGTAACACCTAGCTAGCGCGGATCTTGCTGCTACCTTGCTCCGTGCTGGAGCAAAACAACGTATTGGCTATCATTTCGCCTACTTTTGCACATCCCTCCCCCCTCCCCCAGTTTGCAACGGAGTGCAGACTACAATACAGCGTTTACTTGGCTTAGAGGAGTATTAAGAGGGTTTTCAAAGAAGTGAAGAAAGTATTCTTTGGGATATTTAAAACGTATTCACCAGCTATCCTAAATCCCTCCAAATATTTTTAAACAATCCATCTATGTCCATCTATTTTATCTGGTGCAAACCTACCAAAAGCAAGTAGCACTACAACTTAGCGAAATTTGTGAATATTTGTGCGCGAAATTTGCATCTACCTATTATAGTAATCGGCTCAAGATGTTGGTAACATACTTTTTCTCAGCACCTGTTAAATGATAAACTATGAAATTTATATGGATGAGTTCAGAATGATAGCCAGATGTGCACTACGTTTTTATTTTTTCTTATCACTTCCAAAAAAGGCATCTTCCAAAAAATAGCACCTTCTTCTTTTTTTTGAGGGGTAGACCGCTTTGCTGTTTACCATACTAACTATGTTCTCTATCAAATATCAACAATGGTCTTTCACAGTAGAGTCAGCATACAGTAAACACACCACTAGCCTTTTAGACGGTGATGGAAGCCTGGAAGAGATGGACGCAAATAACTGCCTCAACTGCCTGTTTTTAAAAGAGATCTTTGAGTAACATTTTGTAGGTTGGAATCCCTAAAATTCTTCATACAGTACATCTTCTCTTTCCTCGCTCTTGAGTTCGATAGAAAAAGTTGGCATTTGTTCAAAATAGTCAATAAAGTAAATCAAAAAGCGCCCGCTTCGCTATGCAATTTCAGAAGAGCGAGCAAGGAAAGCTAGAGAAAAAGTCAGAGTTCCGACAGCAGGCGAACTCCGAGAAGGTTATTTTCCGAATATGTACTGTTTTTCTTCCCGGAAAATAAAGGTTCCTGCGCCTCTACTTTTACCGATATGCATTAATCACTATATTGATCTGTTTGAAGCTAATGGGTCCTTTTTAGACAAATAAGACGAACGAGCTATATAATTTCTAAAAACAATTCTTTGAAGTAACGGCTTCGTCACATCTGTGCCTTAAAACTCCGCGCATGGTGCAACACAGGCATTCGCTTCTTTCTTCCTACCATTATCAGAAAAGCTTGCATTTTCTCAGGTTATTACAAAAGATTATCTGAAAATTATTCGCACGCTGTTCACGAAAACCACAACGTTGTTACAGAACTGCAAGCGAAGCAAGCGCCCCAAAAAAGTCTGAGGTCCAGCATAGCCGAAATCCCAAACTTATTAAATATACTACTCTTTTGCCGGTTACTGAGTGCAGCATCTATTTTCCTCTCAGACTTGTAACAACTGTAATACATTCTCCTTTTTTCCTGTATACGTATTTCAAGTTATGACAATAGCTCACAAAACACTGCTACGGACAACCGAGCCTTCTCATGTTGGAAAAGTTCTAAGGATTTATGACATCAAAACTAGAGATAGTATTAAAAATCCCCGTTTGCTTTAAAGCAGATAAACGCCATTGACGGTGTCTTCCTCTATACTCTTTTCATAGCTTAATAGGGTTTATTCGTAACACAGACGCAATAATTACGCAGTCGTAGTTGTCTACGATCAATTGTGGCCGAATTCGTATCCGGATGTCCTAGAGCCATTGCGATCAGGTCAAAATCCAAGATCTGAGCAAAGTCTGACCCTTAAATGGCTAGTCTTTTTCAAAACGAATAGTACATTTCTTCTGCTACGCGGTCCTTCAAAATTAAAGCAGGATTTCTAGGCCTTGGTGCGCTGAAAACAAAAGCGGCTATTTCAGAATTATTGTAAGAGGTTCTCCTGTGAGAAACTCTGACAGTTGCTGTTTTTAATTAGGAATCAGAACGAGTCGTAGCGGCACTGATTTCGCAGAGCTATCTGTTAGAAATAGAGCATGAGCTGCTTTCGTTGAAGCAGCTCATGTCAGAAGACGAAGTCGTTACTTTCATTCTTTAGAAAAAATGCTTATAACTATTAAGGTGGTACAGAATTAAAAAACTACGAAGCTGTTTTTTACAGAATGCAAGAAATAGGAAATTATTGAAATGCTTAGGCGTGTTTTCTTTGCCAACCGCTACAAAAATAATGTTATTTTCCCAGATTTTTTTTGTTTCGCAGAAGACTTTTCCTTGCAGGGCAGCGAGAAGGAAAATATGCAAGCTTAAAGATTGCAGACACAAAAATATCGCTTTTTAAAGCAACAGGTCTTCTTGAGCATTCCCCGCATGCTTAGAATTGGGACGGCATAAAACTCTCAACAGCATTTACGAAACGCACGTGTTCCTCTAGCAACCCAACTTTTACCGGTACTGCTGGTACGTTGTGGATCTGCAGATCTGCGCCTGACGGATTTCCAGACACCTATTCCTGTGCCACCGTAACGTCTCGGAACTCTACTCTGCATCCTAACTTTAAAAAAAAACTTGATTTGCGTGTCATCCTTGCGCAGGGGCCATGCTAATCTTCTCTGTATTGTTCCAATTTTAGTATATGTTCAGGAATGAGCCGAATATCAGAATTAGCAGTGAAATTCTAATTTCAATTTTATCTGCAATCAGTCGTCAAGATTAATTTCTACAATGCCCTAGCTTTAAGAAAAGTCAAGAATTCATTAAGAAATTGACTTGCAAAATTTTTCTTCACACCTCCCCCTACCTATAGATGACGATGACAGAGGTTGCTTTATTGCGTCTTTGTGGTTAGTACGCATCACCTCTGGGCCATTAACAAGCGATTCACTCAGTTATTAACAATAAGCCTGTTTTTATTCTGCGTTAATCATCTTTCGGTGAGTTTGCCCTTTTCCACGTTTGTGCTTGTTGAATGTAACAGCTACTGAACTTGAATCCTGGTTGCCTGAGTCCACTGAATGGCATTCAAAATTCGGTTTCAGTTTCGGTTTCCTGCCTCTTAGTAATCCCTCTACGTGCTTTCCCTACAAATTTTTTTGGAGTGAATATTAGTCCAAGCTAATCACCATTGTTTAATGTGAACATTCTGATTGCGATAAAGAACAGGGTATTTAAGGACGTGTCAGTGTTCACAGAAGAGGTAGCGAACTCTGTTGTTTGCACATTTTGGTGCTCATTAGGAAAGTGCAAGCAGCGAAAGTCTTTGAATTAGAGGGTGGAATAGCTATAAAGTTTCTTAATCCTTATAATATGTGCAACAGATTCTAGATTAAATACTCCGCATGCCAGTACCAGTAGTAGAATTATGGGTGTATACAAAGCCGTCGAAGCATGTCCGAAAAGATGAGTGGAGGTAAAGATGAACTTTGACTGCGAAGATTTTTGAATTGAATATTTTAAATTTGTGGGCAAGAACTGGTCCCTTAATTTCACTGCTTTTCAACCGTGTCTAGCTGAGGGATACTTTTAAAAGTTGAGACCCAAGGAGAGGGAGAGGGGAAGAAAAGGCTCTACCCTTCGCTGATTAATCACAGCGGTCTCTTAATTATCGCTAATTAAGGTGGGGGCCAAGGAGCCGTCTCCAAAAAAAAAAAACAGATGTGAGTTTAAGCATAAAAAACATGAGAATCTTTTTAAGGAGCTTCATAGCCTTTAAACAGGACTACATTTTTTCTGCATTATTCCACTTCTTTAAATCCATATAAAAAGCATTTTTATTATTTTTATTATTTTTATTTATTCTCCGCTGATACATCGCCAACAGAGGATATTCGAGCTATCGATCTCGAAAATGACACTCTTTTTGTAGTAACACAACTTCTACGATTACAGTAGGCGCACAGCCAAAAGCTCCGAGATGGAGCGTCGCTAGAGAATGAATGTGAAGTTTTGTGAAGGTGTCCTAAACCACATACCGGCAAGAAATTTGAAAACCGGTCAGTTTGACCGATTAGCTTCCTTTATTACTTTAAAATTTTGATATCCTAACGCATTTTACGAGATAACAGCACTTTGTGCAAAATCCACCATGTTATTCATTGAAGTTTCATACCATGCAAGACTTGAACGAATGCTGATATCTTCCAAGTTTGAAGAGAAAATGCAAAATTATGGATATTCTATGTTTCCCGTGACAACGGTAGCTGAATAGAGAGAAAAGTGTTCTATATGTCTGCTCTAAAAAATTCTGTTTGTGAAGCTAAACAATAATTTTATATTAGCCTAAATCTGAAACCTCATCACGATTAGAAAGTGCTTAGAGGAGACGAAGAAGTGCTGTGCCCGGAAATACTGAAAATCTGAAGAAGAATTGCTTCCTCTCTTCTCCGTGTGAAGGATGTTTCCGTGGTTCTGATTCAATATCGCTAACTGTAATTTTAACACTGACAGAAAAACTACTAATCAGTAAAATTTATAATAAACAAACAAATTTATCTTTGTGTAGCCGTAAGTGACAGCTTGCATATATAAACCAACTCTAAAACTCTGTTTCAAACCTGTGAGAGCTTGAATACCTAGGCTAGGAGATGGAAGAGCTCAGAATCATACCTCGGGATACAATTAAGCGCTGAGGTCAGCGCAATTAGTGCCGAAATGGTCGAGTACGCAAAAATTTCCGAATTTTTAGAAAACCTTTATATCACTGGATAGATTGGAACCTCCTGATTCCGAAAATCTATCTATCTTTAGCTGGAAGTCGCTTCTAAAGCGAATTATGATGAAACTACGAAAAAAACGCGAAAACGCAGAAATCGCAGCCTTTCACCAAAAAGCACCGGTGGTATGGTAAGGATGTAGACTTGTAAGAAAACAGCGGAATTGTTTGAAATTTCCATTGCTTTGAATAGGTCCGTCCATTTTTTTTTTCATTTCTTATGTACTCTACAACTTGATGCCAATGTTAACTGAGCTAGAAGAGGATGTTACTCATTTAGTTAATCGTTTATTTGCTGGAGAATCGACGGATGTCCCTTCTTCATGAGATGAATTAGGGTCACAAAAAGTACATCATTCGACAAGACCCTTCTATACAATAGTACTTAGTTCAAAAAAAAAAACTTGATCTTCGCTGGAGCTGTTGCACGCCAACATAACTTCGAAGCCTCTCTGCTGGTATAAGGCTACCCACAGTCGCTCACTGAGCAGTACACCAGTGGCCGTATTCAAGAACGCGCGGGAACGGGAAGCGGCTAAGTTGCCTTTCGTTCCCGAACCAGTGGCCGACCACACATTTCCAAAAATAGGTGTAACACGGAGGATTGGAACTGACAGAGCCAAAAAGATCTTCAAGTATTTCCGTAGCACCCGCGAAGACTACCTTTTCCGGGCTCGTATGTAGAGCGGGAAGGCTTGAACCCTCCCGGGAACGTTCATGAATACGGCCACAGGTGGCTTCCTTACAGGTTTCGACAGGGGCTTTCTTACACGGTAGAAAATCGGATCTAGATAAGGTGACAGTTCCCGTGATAGAGAGGTACTCTTCCTTTAGGTCAATTTCAGAACTCTTCTGCCCTGACGGAACATTTTTGACGACCCGTTTGACAGGAACTGTAGATTATGCTTCGAAACAATTTGAGATGGTCATGAATCAAAATCAAGGTCTGTAGCCCTCCTCAGTGCTAACAAAGATATAGTTGTTGCTTATTTTTGGGACTGCTCTCCCCTCCCCTCCTCACTAGTTCCCAACCGCATGTTTAAATGCTTGGCACTAGGTACATATACACCGTATTCTGTGCTCCTGTTTTAAATATAATCTCCTTGTAACATTTGTGAGGGTTTTTTTCACTTCGCATGGATTGCGAAGCCTGGTATTATCAGGCTTTGCATGACTGCATTAAATTAAAAATTTTAGACGCAAATACCCGTCCAAAATGACAATTCCTTCCCTTCTCTTCGCAGGTTGCAACTCCTTCCTCAACTATTTTTTTTGGAATAAGCGTTTAGGATCGCCGACCTATTTTAAATTGGTAATTTTTCCCGGACGAGATCGACCCTTCCTTATTTGACAGGAACTCAACCTTGCAACCGTACCCAACCGCGGATTCGCTTCCGGTTGTGAGCTTGTTCAGACATTCCCCATAGTCTTGAGCAGATAATAAAGGATCATCCGCAAAAGAGAGTGAGCGCCGGAAGAAAGCGTTGGTCATAGCGCTATTGGACAGTCGGGCGATCCGATGAGAGCTTGAGTTGAAGTTTGCAATACCAAAGAATACGAAGATAACCCTTGCACTTTTCCCAAACTTGCACGCTTTACACAACAACTTCGTGCTTTCCCAAGAGTACTGGGTTTTTTCACACGCACGTCTTCGTTTCATGTTTTCCCAAGAGTACTGGCTTTTTCACAGGCACGCCTCGGTTTTCGACTGTTCATGTGGGAGCCGCCTAAAATCTGCAAAAATTAGGAACCTAATTTTCTCTCGTGGGTGTTGTTCTTAGGACAGAGCGGATGTTTTGAGTCGGTTTGAAAGCTTTCTAACCCTGGAAATCTTCTGTTACCTTCAGCAGAATCTCGCCAACCTAGCCGACTTACGCTATCTTCAGCTAACACATAGCCAGCGTTATCTCCAATTTAACAAATAGCAATAACTACTCGAAGTTGAGATGTACGGGACCTTCATCGGGAGCATCACTAGTGGCGTTTCAGGAGGAATCCAGTAACTCTGCAAAGGAAAAACGACGCTTGAATATATCATGTTCTGCGATAAGATCTAATTGAGGAACGGGAGGAAAGAATAGCTTTAATTCCCTCAATGTGGGTGAGCACCGCTGAGCTTTGCCTTAGCCCCGCCTCCTTTCTCTTATTCTCTTGTTCTACCCGCGATGCTCGTCGAAATAAGGACGACAGGCTCGAAGGACTCTCTTCGAAGGTAAACATTTCCGTAAAAACGTTATGACGTTTCCTGTAAGAGTTAGCATTTTCTCTTTTTATTTCGAGGGATTTCTATATCTTATCCGACTGCCAGGGTTGAGATGTATGAAGATGCCCGATTTAAATCGGGATTCATCTTTCTATAGAAAAATCATCCAAGGCGGGTTGCTACGTATATCTCGCCCCAGAGTTGCAGATTAAAAAATGTCCAACGGCTCTACATAATCTTGCGAGATTCTGGAGCTAGCACTACAGTTTTGGTAGCAGAAGCTGTCAGAAGAAAGGCTAGCACTTTTTCAAAAATAAATCTTACAGGATGGATAACGTATCTACCATGGATGAATCTGGGTGAATGGGTACTTTGGCAAGCGCAGCTACATACTTCTATGGCATTTTATTTCCTTAAGTTTTCCAAAAAGGAGTGGCGTACATATTTATAAGAAATATTTTAACTTACGTGGCTTGCAGACTTACACGCATTACCATAACTTTTCTCAGCCAAGTATTGGACTTTAAAAAACTGTACCAAGGACTCCACATTACGGAGCAATTCCGAAAAAGAAGTCCTTTTTGAAAGTGAGAAAATTTACGAAGATGCCCTTGAAAAATGCTAATAAATGCTACATTACTTAGTGCTACCCGACTCTTTTTCTTTTTCCTGCTAGTCTTAGCTGATCTTTAGGTTGTCGCTCAGCGAAAATTAGCGGAAACGCGAAGAAAAGGAAA